GTGTGTGTGTGTGTGTGTGTGTGTGTGTGTGTGTGTGTGTGTGAATAGAGGTGTGCTTATTTTTTGAGAAATTTAGAACCATTAATCAGTGGAATGATTTGCCTGCAGAAGTTGTGGGTGCTCCAACACTGGAGGTTTTTAAGATGAGATTGGGCAACTATTTGTCTGGAGTGGCCTAGGGTCGCCTGTTCGAACAGGAGATTGGACTAGAAGACCTCCAAGGTCCCTTCCAATTTCATTATTCTGTTATTTTCCAATTTATACTGAGAACAGGGCTTTTGGGGAAAGGGTTAGGCCAGGAGCGTCAAACTTGCGTCTTTATGTGATATATTGTGACTTTTCTCCCTTTGCTACACTGCCAGCATGGACATGGCCAGCATGTGATGCATCTGGCAGGTTGCGAGTTTGACAGCCCTGGGTTAGTCCTTGCTTTTATTTATACTGCAATGGAGATGGCAAATAAATCCAGCAGCTAAACTGAACTCATCTCCTTTTCCTTCTTTCTTTTTAATTCTTACAACATGGGTTTTCAAGTTTCCTGTCCAAATCTCTGAGGGAGTAATAAGTAACTGGTGGGGGCTACACACTTTAAAAAAATTGAAACCTGATCAGGCAGACAAAATGCAAACAACGTCAAGACTCACTGCAAACTTTGCTCCTTTTTTCCTTGGAAAAGGAGGGTGACTGCTGGCTTGGAAAGTTTGAGAAATGTGAGAATTACTAAGGCGTGAATTTGTTTTTCATCTAACCTAAATAATCTAAACATTATTTTTATTCACGGGGAAAGGTTACATTCACTTTTTCCTCTAAGGGCCCAGAGTACCCCACACTTTGAGAACACGTCAAATTAATATGAATCCATATCTGGCTTGTTTCTTGGGTCCGAAATTTATATCCAGGAGCTCTTACCACCAAATGGTAATTCAGAGATGTACTTGAAGTGCAGAGAGTAGGGCGATGGTTCTTAAGAAGTCCCAATTAAAAATAGTATCTCCAGCTTAGGGTTGAATTGTGGGGTTCCTGGTGCTCTCTGAATTTGGTTGTTTGCTCTCAGACATTTCATTACCTGATCAGATAATATCAAGTGTTGCAAAGGATTGCGGAGTTTGCTCCCTGTTTATTTATAGCAGTTTGCCCTGCCAATGTTAGTGGAGGTGTGACATCTGAGAAACAATCAAGTAGAAAACAATACCCTAATCAAGGGACTACCAAGGGGGGGGAAAAACCACATTCCACCAACAAAGGCAGGGGAAGGTACTGAATATAAGAGCAAAACCCACCTTCCTTGGCATTGATGATATTACCTAGTCGGGTAATGAAATGACTGCAAGCAAACAACCAAGCTCAGAGGGCACCAAGGACTCCACAGTTCTTAAGAAGTTCAGAACCTGATATAAAGATGTACGTGTATACGGGAACACCCCCAAGAAGAGTAAAAGTATCTAAATAAAAGAAGGTGGGTCAAGAATGCACCAGGCACCATCATAACCTACCTACATAGACCCTGCCATGCTCCACAGAGGCTGGGATGGCCCGGATCATGTATTTCTTTGTCATCAGCCCGTTCTCATAAAACTCCTTCATCAGCAGATGGTTCTCCCCATAGATGCCCGTTGGACGAAGGGCACAAGTGACTAGCCGCTTCCCATTCGGCATCTGCAGAAAAGAAAGATTCTCTGTTGCTGATTGGCACATCTGAGCAGGTTGTGGGTGGACAATCCACCATCGAGGCAAGTTAGAAGTTGGTGGCAAAATCTTTGTTTAGGTGTTCGTTTGCTGGGCTTTCAATTCTAGCAAGGGATTTAGCCACCCTTCCTCCTGGCTTCCCCTAACAACAAGCGTGAGAGATAGGTTGGGCCAATGGAGAGGAAGACCAAGGTCCAAAGTCACGTTTCCCGTGACATTTCATGGCTGAAAGCAGATGACACCTGGGCTTCTCCAATCGGACTCCATTAAGAGCTCGGTGAGGTAGATTGCGCCAAGACTTTTTATGGCCAAGGGTCACCCAACAAAAGTCCATCATTGAGGATGGATTTGAATCTGGGCAAGGGTCAAATACTACCGGTTCACCAAATCGATAGTAAAAAAATGCTACCGGTTCAGGCGAACCGGTATTTCCGATGATCACCTGTGACACACGATTTATATTAGCTAGAAACAGGATTTTCTGCTTTCTATATAATCTAAATTGTGTGTGGCACAGCGGATTTCCCCCCCCCCCCTTTGCTGTTCTACTTGCCTTTGCAGGCACACTCGGTAGCAAGCTCCACCCACCCACCTGGATGTTATCACATCCATTTGTGACGCTCTGCGCATGAGTGAAAGGTCCTGCGCATGCACGGAGTGTGCGCCCTCACTCACATTGCTACCGAACCAATAGCAAAGGTAAGTTGATTTCACCCCTGAATCTGGGACTTCCTTCGCCACTTAATCAAGACAACAGCATTGGATCAAGGGGTCTAGGGTTCAAAGCCCACAAAAATGACTGGGGGGAAAGAAGGCAATGTAACAACACTATACAGCATTGTACATCAAAACAACTAGACAATTTCTTCCCTTGTGCCCTCACTCTGCTGAACACCTATTGCATTTTTCGTAGTATAAGAAAGAGGGTAAAAATCTGGGTGTGTCTTATACATCGAATACAGCATTTTTTGCTTTTTTGAAGACCTGCCCCTTCACCAAAAAGTCTGAGCATACCGTTATGGAGGCTTTTAGAGAGCTCCTGGAAGCTGGGAAGGGGAGAAATGAGCAAAAAATGGGCCATTTCCCCCCCCCAGTCCCAGCAGCGCTCTATAAGGCGCCATAAGGCTATGCATGCAATTTTTTTGGCAAAAACCAGGCTCTATCTATCTATCTATCTATCTATCTATCTATCTATCTATCTATCTATCTATCTATCTATCTACCTACCTACCTACCTACCTANCACATTCAGCAAGGCCTGGCAAACAGTCTTTCAAAGGAATATTTATGACTACAGACCTTCTCTATCTTGGAAAGCTCCCATGTAAATATTTTCCAAATGAGGCGCTGTGCAAGGAAATACTTGGCACAGAGTTTCTGAGATTCACGGACAGATCTTCACACCACTGAAACAAATCTAATGACCGAACAAATGAATTGTTTCCTGCAAAAGCCACTCCCCTTTCACTCCTCTTTTATTTCTTATGGGAGGGGCCAATCACCTTCCACCTGTGACTTTACTCCCAAGTCTACCCTGATTTCTGAGTTATTCTTTTCTTCTGGCAGCTCTGCGCATGCGCACACTGGGAACAGGCTCTAGCTGTTCCTCTGCCTCACTGCTGTTTAGCTCCGTAGGCATATGATCACTGCAAGATGGCCTCGGCCCTGTCTTTGCCTCCGATGCAGAGCCCTCGTCCGAGCCTTCCCCAGCCTCCAAGACTGGCCCATGTTCCTCCCCAACCTCCTCTCTCTCTGCTGCCAGCTCCACTGGCCGCTGACGGCCCACAACAAGACTTGGGGGCTCTTGACTCCATCTGAGGGCTGACAGACAGCCCAGGCTCTATCTATCTATCTATCTATCTATCTATCTATCTATCTATCTATCTATCTATCTATCTATCTACCTACCTACCTACCTACCTACCTACCTACTCTCTCTCTCTCTACTTATCTATTGTATTTTTTTCTCTCTCTCTCTTTCTATTTCTCTCTCTCTATCTCTCTACCTACCTATTTACCTACCTACCTACCTACCTACCTACCTACACTCTCTCCCTACCTACCTACTGTATTTCTCTATCTCTCTCTATTTCTCTCTACCTACCTAACTACTCTCTCTCTCTCTCTCTCTCTCTCTCTCCATTTACCTACTGTATTTCTCTCTCTCCCTCCCTTTCTATCCCTCTATGTATCTACCTACTTTTTTTAAAAAAAAGCCTCCAAAACCTTGGTGCATCTTATACTCTGAAAAATATGGTAATTCTCGCAGCTGATAGAAAATAGAGTGACTGCTAAGTGTTTTTTTTTGTTTGTTTTTGCCTGAGGTGTATGTATATGAACTCATAGGGTATGGCTGAAGGATTATTATGTATCCCTTTTATTATTTTTTACTTCTTCCTCTTTATTGGCAGTACGCTTCAGTATTGTTATTATATTGTGTTGTTTTGCAAGTACAGAAAAATTTATTGTGTGTCTAACTCCACTTGGCCAAATAAATAAACCATATCAGTATATACGTAGGTACAGCTGCTGCAAGTTAAGTCTTCTCCACCCCTGAACTCTGCAGATAACGTGACCTGCAATGCACATATCAATCCGCAGTCATCACATGCTGTCTAAATCTTTTGCAGAGTGCCAGTTTCAAGGAAACAGACCAAGAGACAGGTCTGGGTTTGAGATAGAAGGAGGCCAAGAAGCACATGGCTTGGTTAACTCGGAAGACATTCAAAGTCCTCTCTCAAATTCTAGCTTACCACTTGCCCATTGGCTTCGATGACAAGCCGCTCGGCCTTGGCTTTGCTAAGTGGGTAAGGATGGTGGTGTATGGCCTCATATTTTGTGTCCTCATTGCACCTGCAAGCAAGGAAGAAAGCATCACAGGCCATCAAAACCCTATGCTTACAACAAGAGCAGTTAACCAGGTTACAGTTAACAGTTATGTATCTTTCTTAACAGATTAACAGAGTTGGAAGGGACCTTATAGGTCATGTAGTCCAACCCTCCACTCAAGCAGGAGACTCTAACCCTACACCATTTCTGACATATGGCAGTCCAATCTCTTCTTGAAAGAATCTTAAATACACTTTAGTTCATTTAAATCCAGTGTAATTGCTACAGTGGCTGCTGCCCCCTGCATTACATAGGAGAGGATAATGCTCCTGAAATGATATGGGGAAGAGGATAAAGGGGGTGGGGGGGAATCTGTTGCTTGTCTTTACTCCCCATAATGGAAAGGGGTGTATCCAGGGGTGAAATACAGCAGGTTCGGACAAGTTTTGGAGAATCGGTAGTGGAAATTTTGGGTAGCTCAGAGAACTAGCAAATGCCACCTCTGGCTGGCCCCACAGTAGGGTGGGAATGGAAATTTTGCAGTATCCTTCCCCTATCACGCCCACCAAGCTACGCCCACCAAGTCACAACACACCCACCAAGCCACACCCACAGAACCAGTAGTAAAAAAAATTGAATTTCACCACCGGTTGTATCTAATAGGTTTTTCCTACAGGCATCCGTTAAAAGTACAGGTAATCCTCAACTTTATGACCACAACCGAGCCCCAAATTTTTGTCACTAAGTGAGACAGTTGGTAAGCAAGTTTTGCCCCATTTTACAACCTTTCTTGCCCCAGTTGTTAAGCAAATCACTGCAGCTGTTAAGTGAGTAAGATGGTTGCATAGTGGATACCCCATCGGCTTTAGTTGTCAGAAGGTTGCAAAAGGGGATCATGTGACCTCGGGACCCTGCAACCGTTGTAAATATGAACCAGTCGCAATGGTCATAATAAGTGTGAAAAACGGTCGTAAGTCACTTTTTTTCAGTGCCGTTGTAACAGAGCGGTTGAGGGTCCCTTGCACCCTGTAGTGAAAATTTTTCAGATTTTCAAGCCTTGGGGTGACTAAACTTCTAACTACGAACAGCAGTCAACTTTCCCTACTTGTTAGAAGGGAGAGCAGAGCCGTTGGCCCACACCCACAGAGAGCGGTAATCCACTGTGACTGTTATGAACTGTATCCCTGTTGCCATGGCAATGCTAGGAGAACCCAGGGAAACCCTTGAATAGGGCCAAAACATGTGGGCTTGCCTAAATCAGGGGAACTCCCTGTTATTTGCAACCAACACTGAAACTCAGTTAACTCTTTAGGAGCTCCATTCTATTTTTAAAAAATATATATGCACATTTAGATAGCTAAAACAATGCGAGAAGACTCAAAAGAATAAGAAACTCCAAATTAAAACATAGAATAATAGGCTTGAAAGGGACCTTGGCCGCCTTCCAGTCCAACCCAAGGGAAATACAATAGAAATTGTATTTTTTCAAGAGGCAACTGGACTTCCTAGGTTTTTTTTTTCTTTGAAGACGTTTCGCTTCTCATCCAAGAAGCTTCTTCAGCTCTAACGGGATAGTGGGGAACAGAAGGATTTATACTCCTTGCAGACAGCTGGTCATTTGCAACCTTTTTAGAGAATAGTGGAGGCCACTTAGAAGTTTGTTTGTGTCCTCAGGTTCACCTGAGTAGGGAGAATGGATGTGGAGCCTTCTTGGAACTGCTGCAAGGACTGTGTTGTGGAACTGTGTGTGTTTTTTTTCCACTGCCCTGGGTTCTTTCACTATTGAACACAGGTGCAGGCTGTCGGGGATGAGTCTGTGTTGCCAGTTTGAGGTGCAGACAACAGAGGAAAACATCCTGCAGAAAGCACAGCTCCACAACAACTCAGTTCCACCTATGTGCACTACTCAGGTGACCCTGAGGACAGAGACACTCTAAAAAGAATGCAAATGACCAGCTGTCTGCAAGGAGTATAAATCCTTCCCTTCCCTGCCTCTTGGATGAGAAGCTAAACATCTTCCAAGAAAAAATAAGAAAGTTCAGTTGCCTCTTTAAAAATCACCCTTGGGACACCCACAATCTGGATGGCTGAGAATCTCTACAGACAACAGAAGCTTTAAAAAATTTCCCCAGTTGTCTTAGTCTAACAGAGCTCATCATCATCATCATCATTTTGAAAAATAAGCAACTCATACCTGTAGAAAGGGTGGCCTTTTATGTTAGGTCCTACGACCTCCATGCTGCTGGTGTAAATCAGATACTGGACTCCTTGCGTGACACAGGCCTCAATTACATTTTTGGTTCCTAGAGAGAAAGAGGGGAGAAAAAGGGAATGAGGAAAGGAGGAGAAACAATGCAAAACCTGGCTGTCCATCAGAGCCCTCACCTGCTGGAAAAGAAACAGCTCTGCCAGGAATGAAAAAGGAGCGATGAAATCTGTGGGGTTTTCCTTGCATAGGAACCAATTGTTTCAGCACCTCATTTTCTCATAATAAACAGAGGCAGAGTGCTGTTGCAACTTTGGTCCCTAAATGAACTGCTGTGAAGTCAAGGACTACCTATGCTGCCTTTGGTGATTGAACGCCATTCTGTTCTATTTTATTCTGTTCTATTCCATATTTTGCTCTGCTCTGCTCTGCTCTATCCTATCCTATCCTTTGCAGAAGAGATCTTGGAAGGAAGTAACTGGGGAAGTCAAAGTTATTTTGTAAAAGCCAGGATACCTTTGACCTTGTTCAAGTAGCCCTTTCTTTTTTTGCAAATCAAGCCATTTCCTACACATTTGTCTCATATCGAACATTGCAGATGATTCAGCTAACGGAAAGGCGTATTATTGTAATTCAGCATATCCACCGCTGAGAATGGTTGCACACCCCACCTCTGCTGTGGTCCTGGGGAAAAAAAAAACAGGCCCCCAGGGCTGCCTGGAATAACAACAAGGTCAGCCTGTGAATTTTCCCATGCCACAATTGTATGACAAGGATGCAAGCTATCTGCTGAGGCCGTGTGTGTCTCTAGACTGCAGGCGTGAATGATAACAGGAAAAGATTTGGAAGGGATTTGTGGCAAACCCCATTTCCCAAGTTTGTGAACCACAAGAAGCTTGAAGCTAGGACTTCCAGATGGCCCTTAGGAGACGTGTGGGACCCGGAGGCTAAATTCACACCCAGTTACAGAAAACAACAGCTGTCTTTCAAATTTGGCAGTATAACGATAACTTGATCCAGTCTAAACCTCCGAAGAGATAATAACAGGATGTGGTCAGATGGTCCAACCAATTACAAAATCTATTTAGTATTATTATGATCTGTTCTCCTTCTAACCCCGATCTTATTGTTTCAGGGAATAAGAGATCTCGGGTTAAAGAAGTGTTTACATTTTCAGTCAATTATCTTTTTTTTTTTTAGGTCTCTTTCGTCTTCCATGTTACTAATTCTGTATGTTTTATGGCTCTTGGCTATTTCAGAACACTCTTTGACTCACTTCAGAAATTAGAGCAGCTCTGTCTTAGTCCATGTAAATATAGCACTATCATGTAAGAATAGATTGGATCATGTATTGCTTAGTCTATTTAGTTGGTTGTCACAAGCAAGTTGTCAGTGTCGGAGAAAACAGGCGTTAGGCCTGGCTTCTGGAATCATAAACCAGCTACAGCAGTTGTGTTTGCAGGATGCAACTAGACAAGTTTGCTGCTTGTGGTGTCATGAGAAGGCAACCAACAAGGATTACAACACTCCATTTCTAACATCTCTGGAAGGACTTTTCAATGTTAGCAACTTTAAGATGTGTGAACTTCAACTCCCAGAATTCTCCAGGTGGGATGCTACTTCAGGAATCCTGGGAGTTGAAGTTTACACATCTTAAAATTGCCAAGTTTGAGAAACACTGATCTATGGATTTGCTAAGGGAAAGTTGGGGGGTGAGAGGAGGGGACAAAATTTCTGAGACAAAAATTAGGTTTGTCAAGGAAGCAAAATAGAATCATCCAAACAGTTGAGTTTTAGGTAGGCATCCTTTCATTGAAAAACAAAAACAAAAAAGGAGATTGACAGGTGTCAATCACTGGGGGATCTGAGGGGCTCTCCTTTTTCTGGCTTGCAAATGAAAGTCTCTGTTTGTAAAAGATTAACCCAGAGATGTAGAATTTTACAAGGTTGGAAACTATTCTCTTTAAATGACTTTGCTATTTAAGCCATCTTGGTCTGGTCTGATCTGGTCTTGTTTGGCATTTTGAAATAAACTTGCTGGCTTTAAGATCCAGTGAATGTCAAAAGTCAAATCTCAACCCAAGATATACTGACATCCGCATTCATTCGTTTATTTGTTCATTCTAGTAAACGTTTTCGAGCTGAGATTCCTTGATTATAAATCATAACAATTAAAGAGAGATATAAAGAGTATTGAAAATGAAAATTAGTGCATGTCTTGCTACTACAACTTTTCATGCTTGTTTGATGGGATTTTAATATATTACAGGTAGTCTCCCAGTTACCACCATAATTGAGCCCAATATTTATGTTGCTAAGCAAGATAAGGGGAATTTTGCCCCATTTTGTGACCTTTCTTGCCACAGTTGTTAAGTGAATCACTACACTGTTGAATTAGTAACACGACTGTTAAATGAATCTGGCTTTCCCATTGACTTGGCTCAGCAGAAAGTCGTAAAAGGTGATCACATGATCCCAGGACATTGCAATGGTCATAAATGTAAGTCAGTTGCCAAGAGTTTGAATTTTGATCACATGACCACGGGGATGTTGCAATGATTGAAAGAGTGAAAAATGGTCGTATCATTTTTTTCAGTTACTTCGAATGATCACTAAATGAACTGTTATAAGTCAAGGACTACCTATATCTCTGATAGCGAACCTATGGTACGCGTGCCAGAAGTGGCACGCAGAGCCATCTCTCCGGGCACCGGAGAGTCATCTCCTGTTGCTCTTCTAGATTCCGGCATGCTGGCCAGCTGGTCTTCTCAAGTGCGGGAGAGCCGGAAACTGGAAGAGCCCAACATGCATACACACGCCGGAAACATGATCTTCCAGGTTTTGATGTGCTCATATGTACTGGCCAGCTGTTCATTGCACATTCATGCACATGCCAGAAACCAGAGGACCAGGTGGCCGATGTGCATGCACATGCAAGAAACCAGAAAATCATCTTTCTGTTGCGCGCCTGAATCCCTGGGCAGCTGCTCTTCCGGTTTCTGGCATGTGCATGCAGGCACACACAGACCCCCATTTCAGCATTCGGTGCCAAAAAGATTCGCCAGCATTGACCTATATATTTCAACATAGGATGGAAAATAATTTCAACATGAAGGCCTCCTGGTAGGATCTTAGGGGAGCCTAGGCCACGTTTTCCTACCTAAACTCTTCAAATTGTATGGACTTCAACTCCCAATAATCTTCAAAACTAGTGGATTTGAAGAAGGGATTTGCTGAGTTTTAAAACTAGAACTCAGGGAAAGCCTAATGGAAATTCACTCTGAACAGCTGAGCTGTGGTCCAACCTCACAGGGTCATTGTAAAAGCAAGAATATGTGTGTTTTTAAAATATAATAAATAGAACAGCAGAGCATTTCTCCTCTAAAGACCTCTCAATTCTGCTTCCCAACAGGTTGTTTCTTTTGAAAATTGTGCATTTGTCATCCTGACAGCTGAGCCTGTTAGTTGACTACAAAGTATTGTTGCAAAGGCTAAATGGAAAACAATAAAATGCCTCTTGGATCATCCTTTTCTTTGCTTGCTTGATCCACCCTAGGACATTAATCATGCAAACAAAAGCGTAAAGATGCCTCATATGTGTGTTTTGTTATTTTTGCTCCTGACTCATCCTAGGCACAATCTTCAAAAGCAAAATGTTTCTCTTAAAAGCCCCATGAAGCTTCTCCCTAATGATCAGAAGGATCATTGCATAGGGCCTCCGGAGACAAACCAAATTAGCTCCAGAAAGGCCAGAAAAATAGGCAAGGATCTTGGAGGCTGGCACACAGCAAAAGGCGAGGGCGGAAGCCTGTGGCATTCCAGCTGGGTCCCTGGGAGTGGAGAGATGAGCAACTTTCTTTGAGGTCAGAAGAATGTTAAAAATAAAATCAGGAAAAATAATACAAAACTAGAAGAGATATTTCAAATACAAATTCTATTGTGTTCCATTCCATTTTTTGTTCTGTTCCTTCCCTCCTATACAATGTAACATTTGTATCAACACTGAACATCACTAATATGATTATACCCCATGCACCAATTTGGAACAGGAATTATAATTAAAAAAAAATTGGTGAGAAAGTCTGGACACAAAGCTTGGCTTTCCTAGAAGACCCTTTCCCAGCCCTACCTGGCAGCCAGGGAACTGAAGAAGACACCTCTGTTCTCACAGAGTAGCTAAGCAATATTTCCAGTTACCAACTATAATTCTTTCAGGCCTTGTAAGCCATTTCATTTCATTTCATTTTTCATTTTATTTAAATTTATAGGCCGCCCTTTTCCCTGAGGGGACTCAGGGCGGCTTACAATTAATGGGAAGGGAGTGTAGGACAAAACACAACACACAGAGGTGTGTGCCAGAGGTATAAATGTTTTGTTCTTGGAAATGTTGATCACATTTGTTCACAAACAACACCTACAGCTTTCATCTCATTTTCTTCTCCCATCACGTTCAATGAGCCATCATTATATTGTGCCCACACTCATAGTGCAATGCCCTTCCCGTGGCACATGCACCCACAACCCCCCCCCCTGTGCTCCCCCCTGCACATGCGCGCAGCTCTCACTGAAGCCTCTGGACCTCCGGTAGGCCCGTTGGGCTGTTTTTGCCCTCCCCAGGCTTCAGTAAAGCTCCAGAGCCTGTGGATGGTGAAAAATGGGCCTGATGAGCCTACCGGAATTTCAGAACCACAGGCTCCAGAGGCTTTCCTGAAGCCTGAGGAGAGCGAAAACAGCCTCTTCCCGCCCTCCGGAAGGCCGAAAATCAGCTGGCCAGCGTGTATGTGCACTGGAGCTGACATAGGGCAACGCCTTGCGTGCCCTCAGATATGGCTTCGCATGCCACCTGTGGCACACGTGCCAAAGTATCGCCATCACGGTTATAGTATGTCATGTCTCCATATTCAAGGTTTTAAGAAAATAATCAATGGGTTGGTTCTCTGGCAGACCTACTCCAGCAGTCTGTTCTTCCAGGGGAAAGCCAATTGCAGGAGGAAGCCCATCAATCTCCTAGCAGATGTTCTTCAGCGGCATTACCATCAAGGAGCCATCAATCTACCTGATTTCCATGAATTTCTTCCGCCTTCTTGGGAAACTAAATTACCTCATTTCAAGGCGGCCAATTCCAAAGTTGGATTAGACGTTGTGTAAAAAAAGAAAAGTCCTTCCTTTTGTCTGTTTATTCTTGCAGTATTCAATTTCACCTCTGGTTCTAACAAGATTTTTTTTTACCTGATTAGGCTGTTGCTTCCTGGGGATCAAACAGGAAATCAGTGACCTAACCATTTATGAGAGAGACTTATCCGGCAGCCACATTAGCAGTTGAGCACTTTTCTTTTCTTTTTTTAATATCAGGCTTTTGAATTGTCTTTAATTGTACTTTAATTTATACTGTTTTAGATTTAAAAAGGTAAAGGTTCCCCTTGCACATGTGTGCTAGTCTTTCCTGACTCTAGGGGGCGTTGCTCATCTCCGTTTCAGAGCCGAAGTGCCAGCATTGTCTGAACATATCTCTGTGGTTATGTGGCTACATGACTAGACACTGAAGGCGCACGGAACGCTGTTACTTTCCCACCAAAGGTGGTTCCTATTTTTTACTTGCATTTTTACATGCTTTTGAACTGCTAAGTTGGCAGAAGATGGGACAAGTAACAGGAGCTCACTCTGTTATGCGGCACTAGGGATTCAAACCGCCAATCTGCCAGCCTTTCTGATTGACAAGCTCAGTGTCTTAGCCCCTGAGCCATCGTGTCGCTTGTTTACCAGGGCCTAATTTTCATCCATTACTTCATTTGATTTTATTGAATATACGCTTATATTAAAATTGTATTGTTTAGTTTTGTTATAAACTACTCAGGGAACTTTGGTTACTGAATTGGCTAGATATTTTGATAGACAGACAGATATTTACCAGTAGACTTTAAAAGTACATGCTATCAAGGATGTAGCAAGTAATCTAATTCCCGTTGTTCTAAATTGGGATTTTGAACCAAAGGGTTCAAAATTGCAAACAGATGGCTCAGAAAAACTACAGATGATTCATTCAGATTCATTCATGCTGCCCCACCATTATACACCCCCTTCTGACCACAGATGAAAGAGATAAATTAGAAAAAGCCAAAACATTTTTGGGAAGCCAGTTCTATTTATTCTTAAAAGATGGGATTCAAATAAAAATGATCAAGTTTGGCTTAAGCCTTGGAATATACACTCAAGTTCCTCCAGACGTTTCTGTTAAGTTAGATACGTTTGATGTGGCAGATGGAGTAAATAACCCAACATATAGGAAATGACATCCCCTTAATCAAATCTAAATGTAAAAAGGGCTTTCTCTGCTCCTATCCTCTTTGTGGAGTGGAATCTTTCCCACAGGCTGAAAAAAACACAGCGTTGAAGGTTCCATTCTACAAAATGGGGGTGTGCGTGAATGGATGCAACGATGACAAAATTCCATTAACCTCCATAAGGCAAGCAGATTCAGCAACAAAACGATTTTTTCCTTCTGCAATTAATTTTGTGCACCTGCCATACCCTTGTTGCTGGGACAAATTCCACAAACTCAGAAGGGGCATCTTGATCTCATTTGCGCTGTGTAGAGAAACTGGTCAGACATTCAAAGGTTTTCCTGCCAAAACTTACCTTGCACATTAACTGCCATGATCTTCTGGGGTGGGACTCTGCCCCAGACGTCCACCAGACCGGCTGTGTGAATGACGACATGGGCGCCTTTGACTGCTGGCGTCACATCTTCTGGATTGCTGATGTCTCCTTGGATGAGAGTCACTTTGATTTTCCAGAGCCAAACAGAGAGAAAGAGATAAATTAACTTTTTTAATTAGAGAAAAGACACAATCCACATCAATGGGTGCCTCAAAACTTCTTAAGGGCTTTTTGTGTAAAACTTAAAAGAAAAATGAAGTTGGGATGTATGCCTTTGATGTTTAGACTAGATAGATTATAGAAAAGAGAATATTATGAAATAACTTTAGAGACAGGAGTTAAATACAATAGTTCCTAAAACCGTTGTGAAGAATATCAAAAGCAAATTCTCTGTAGTTCTCTCCCACCCCTTTTTCTTAAATATTCTTGCCTTTCTGCTTTTTCTTTTTTTTGGACTAATTGCTCCTTTTTAAAAGTTTCAATAAAAACCATATAAAAAACAAAAGAAAGAGTGGATGGATGGATGGATGATGTTTTTAAGTGTTACACAGAAGCCTGCAGCACAAGTGTACCAACAGAGAAAAACACATAGAAGCGAGAAACACACAATGGAATAAAACTGATACAGTATTGTTGACTTGTTCCTTTCCCCGGGCAAGAGCAAATGGGCAGAAGAGAAACAAGAGGACAAGAGGTGCCGAGGTGGCGCAGTGGTTAGGGTGCAGTACTGCAGGCCACTTCAGCTGACTGTTATCTGCAGTCAGTCAGGTAGGTAGGTAGGTAGGTAAGTAGGTAGGTAGGTAGGTAGGTAGGTAGGTAGGTAGGTAGGTAGGTAGGTA